TAAATAAGTGAAAATAAAAATAACACTTGCTCCTTATTTTCAAATGATAGAAAAGATCTAGGCTTATACATTTTCAAAAAATATGCTAGATACAAAATAGTCAATGTATTTGCAGTTTTTCTGTGCTGCTGTAAATAATATAATATAGTTCAAGCTAAAAATAAAATAAGATTTAGAGGAAACATCAGAATAAAATGTTGCTTATCAGTGAATAGAAAACGGCAGATATCACGTTCATACTTCTGTTATTGTCAAATGGTCAAAGTAAAGACAGGCATTAACTTCCATAAATGCAATACTCTCACTAAAATGTACCTCAGAGACTCAAGAATGAGGTGTGTCACTCTAAAGCTATTTCATTGACACCTCTCAATTATAATATAAACACATTCTTTGTGAGAAGGAAAAAGAAGCAAAAGATATTGAAATCGAAAGTATATTGTGTATGATGTGTTACTTAGTATTGGAAGAACTTTATTTTTTGACATGGCATATCAGGTTTGAATTATGATCATTTTATTTTATTAACACTTTAGTTTGTAAAAATATTTGATATTTTGTATTATGTGCAACAAAATGACAATATATTTCAACTTTTTATTTATTTATGTCAATATTGTCATTGAACAAACTGCAAAGAGAATTTCTCTATTTCCCACCAAATATTTTCTTTTTATATCCTTTCTTTCCTGGTTCCCATAGAGATTTATAACTGAATTTTGATTTGATAAGCACTGAGTCTGTACAAACCACACTAAACCTTCAAAATTGATTTGTCTTAAAAACACTGTATAGTATTAAGATCACTGACTGTGAATCACATTTCTTGGGTTCAGATTATTTAATAATGTGGTGATTTGGAAAAATTGTTTAAGCTCTTTGCTTTAATTTCCTTACTACAAAGTAGGTTTAATAGCAGAGTTGTCTGCTCTTAAAAGGGATTAGCTCATGTAAGATTCTTAGAAAATACTGGGCATATAATATATAAGACATTCTCAATATGCTTTAATTAAAATCATTATTAATATTACCTTTTCCTTTCATCTCACCATACTCTTTAAGATGTTACAGGTATTTTTGATTCCTTCCTGATGCTTTTTCTCTCTATTCTAATCATCTTTCACTGCCAGCATCTACCAGAATCATGGTGTCCCTGTGACCTGTCTCATCATCTTGGCTTGCTCTTTCTAGGCTATTCCAATAATCATGCCACTTTGCATGATACCTCAAGTTGCTTTTTCCAAATTCAATGCATCCCACTACTGTTAACTGTTATCTTTTCAAAATTAGGAGAGGTATTTCTCTTCTTGAAAACCTCCACTGCTCTTACTTAATGAATTAACATCTAAGTGTAAGCTTGCATTAGGGTATCCTACTATCAGAAACAAAACTACATTTTACTGTATATAGTTAACTGATGAAGTGGGCTATTATTCGTTGTTAAACACATCTTAAACGTATAACATACATACATATGTGTACAAGATGCACACATATATCTATATACTCACATAAATATATATTTCAGAATTGGAAATCTAGATTGAATTTTTTCAAAAAAATTTGTTTCTCTACATCAAATAACACCCATGGTTGAGCTCTTCCTCATTCCCTCATTTACTACCCACGTTCATGGACTGCTTTTGTTGGTGTGCTTCTTTTGGCAGGTCTCTTAAGCTTCTTTGTATTGAAGATATTTGCATATCCATTCTCACTGATATGTGATAATAATTTCTATGTGCATACTTCTTTCAAAGATGTGTGTTGATATTGAATGAATGAATGAATTAAAACTACATGCTAAGGCAGAAACAGTCGATTACATGCATATTTTATATGTAGACAATCAAATAATGTTTTTAAAATATATTTGATAACATTATACAAAAATTAAACCAAAACATAAAAGAATTTTTTCATATCTTTAAATCATATAGCAATTGCTATCACTAGTTAAATAAGTTATCTGAAGAAAATGGACATTGGGTATATGAATATATTCTTTCTACTATAGAGAATTAAACAAGAAACAGATTTCCTTCCTGTGAAAGACTTAATGAGGGAAAAAATAGAAGATGGAAAACCTTAATTTGACCTTCAAACAAAACATTCTTTGAAAATAATGAAGTAACTTCCTTCCCTCTCTTGGCGATGCCTTCTTGATCTCTAAGAATTTCCTATTCACTCCTTGACCTTTCAGATAAGGTCATCACCAAAGAAATGTCTTATGACAAGAGTAGCTGTGGAATTAGAGATTTTAGAGAGCTTCACAGTACAGACTTTGTAGGCCCTATTCTTCTTAAGAGGAAGAATAAGCAAGATTTATTTGCTAAAGAAATAACTTTCCAAGGACTTTCAAAGTCCTTGGGGATACAATGTAAATATATTGCCGTGCAACTTGACTATATTTAGCCCTAACATTTCAGTATCTTTCCCAATTGCTTATAGCCTGTAATAACACATTAGTGATTGAGGGTTTTCACATTGGTAAGGCTATATTTGTTTTAGAAACTTAAACTTATAAAAGTAAAATAATTGTTAAGCTGCGCCAAATAATATATGTTAATTCACACTGAATGTCTTCACTAAAATAAGACACTGATCTTGATCAACCTGTATATACTTATGAAATAATTTGACTATTTCAAAAATGCAATAACAATTATAGTGATCATAAAAAGTAGCTAAACTGTTAAAATTTACATTGTTATTTTTCTTTTGAATAATTTTTATCTGATTTATAATGTCCAAGAATAAAATAAGAGGAGAATTTAATGAATTATGTTTGCCTCATGATGCATATCAAATCAGCTAAATATAGTATATAAAATGATAAGACATAAGATATTCTAGTAATGAAAATATTATTCTCAAAGGTTTTAAATGAAGAAATTGAATTCAGGAAATTATTATTTGAAAAATTCCATCAGCTTTCTTCATCTTGATAATAAATTATATACTACTATAATCACGAGTGTTATATGATTGGCTAATATTTTCAAATGATGAATATTGAATGGGCTAATAAATATTTTTAAAGTCATCTTAGTTCAAGATTTCTCAGGATAAGAGTCTAATCCAAGGATTTGAAAACAAATAATTTAATTAGGAAATTGTCCAGAAGAAACTAGTCAGCAGTATAGGAAGCAAGAGAGGAAAATATTAGACAAGCAAGTGTTTATGATTTTGAGAGAGGTACAACCTTCAGCCTAAGCCAATGAACAGCTTTGGAGGATAAATTGCATGTCAGAGTCCCTCCTTTCTGGAGTCAGTTGAGCTCTGCTCTTATACTCCAGTAGGATTCATGAGCTATGGGCCCCCCCTTGTGAACATATACCATCTATATAGACAGCTCACCACTCATATGATTAGAGAAATTCTATAGTTTGTCACTTCCAGTCCTTAGAAGTGACACATGGAGGATCTGAGGAATAGGCACACAATTCTCAGAAAGGAATTTTGGAGTTGTTGGACAGGTACCAACATTGTCTACTCTAGGAGGCATGCAGAATTTGATGCTATTATGGCAGATACTTTTAATCATTACCTCAAAACCATTCATCACAGTTATCAAGCTGTCAGTCTTTTCTGAGTGCCTAGGATGTGCTAGCTACATTTCAAAATACCTTTCAGATATACATTAATTCATTTAGCAATGTAAGTACTGGTGGAAGAGAACACATTCCCACAACAACTAATAAATATCATTGTCATATATATCCAATGTCCTTGAAACTCGATGAAAAGATTTAAGTCATATTGAACTGTTTATGGAGTTACCACGTTTCTACAAGGTTACTACCATTACGACTATAGTGAAGAAACAAAAGACTTTTATTTAAGAAATATGAATAGCCATCTTAGTAAAATTATCAAATAGTATTTCCTCATAGGTTACTTAATAGTAGTTTTTAAAGATCATTTTTGTAATTTATAAAAATACTAAGTTAGGGCCGGGGATTTCGTTCAGTGGTTCTGCTGCCTGCCTCACAAGTGCAAGGTCCCGATTTCAATCCCCAGTACCAAAAAAAAAAGTTAAATCTTAGAAATATTTGTCTGCCATTTTTTATTTTCTTTGTTTTCCAGCAATAGTTGTTAAATTATTACCCAAAAGGTTTGCTAAGCCATATAAACACAATCAATGTTTGTATAATCAAAGTGAAAAAAACCAGTATCTTATATTAATTTAAGTATAAAGTGTATACCTTGGTGGTAAGTTTTGTGAATATTTTCTCTATAGGTTACAAGTGAGTAGGAAATACTGAATAATTTGCTAACACGTTTTATTTAAGAAATGTTCTCTTCAAATTGTGCTCAATGAGAGCTACAGAATGGTTTAGCACCAAATGTGAATTTTGAACAGTCATTGTTGCTAGATTAACCAATAAATGAATGAATGGACTATTTATTATAATACCTCTGTCTTATATTATACTTCTCCATTCCTCAGTTTTAGTACAATTATTACTACAATTATTTACTATTTGTTTACTATTATTTACTATTATTGACTATAGATTACGGAGCCAGGGAAGCATCTCAGTGGTAGAATGCCCGCCTAGCATGTATTATGCATGGGTTCAGTTCCACAAAAAAAGTAGATTACAGGTAAAATATGAGAAAGTCTAGGGAAAATGTCATGTTTTTCTATGTAAGCAACTCTCCTTGCTTCTTTTTTTTGGGTACCGGGGATCGAACTTGGGACCTTGCGCTTGCAAGGCAGGCGGCGGTACCACTGAGCTAAATCCCCCGCCCTCTCCTTGCTTCTTATGTATGATCTCACACTGGAAATAAAAGGAACAGAGTTTCATAATTTAAGCAAAGATAAAAGAAGAATAAGGTCAACTTTACAAAATCCAAGAGTGTTATATTCTAATTTTCTTTAGCCATACAACCTTGAAAAAAATGACTTAATCCTTCTGAGATTTAAAGTCAATATCTGTGAATTTTGACTGATAATTAACCATGTTTATTTCTTTGATTTTAAAAAATGTGTAAAGGATGAATATGGATGAATAAGATTAACTCAAGAATGTGATCTTGTATGTGACATATACAGTAAGTGTTCCTTTTTATTCTTTGTGATTTGGAAAAAATATTAGCGGAAAACCCCAAATTTCTTATTACTTCATAAAGATACTAACTTCAGCCTCAGACATGAGCTAAAATTTAATTCAGCCTGAGAAGTATTTTAGTCCTCAAATATATTTGAATCTTAAAAGAGAGATTGGTTAATATGACTGTTTACTCAAAATATTCAAAGGAATTTTCCAGGAAGTCTTTGCCCATAGCCATGATGGGTAGAGTCCTTCCATGTAGAGTGCTGCATAGGAAACAGTGTGAAGGGAGACAGAGGTGTGAAAGACACTGATATCAGTGAGACGCAGAGTGAATGGGGTACATGGAAGACAAGTGAAGTTTTGAGTTTGATAGTCAGGGCCAAATATTGAGCACTCTTGTACCTAGTAAATTAATAATAATAATGACTGACATAAATGAATTCCAAATGACAAAAACGGGGTGTATGGAGTATGAATTTCAGTGTAGTGTTTGGGAGTGGGAGATTACAAGCAGGAGATGTATCGTGGTAATGTAAAAGTTAACAGAGATACCTTGAAGAGCAGAATGAGAATTTAACTTCGATAGATAAGATGAGCTTCAGATATTTGTAGCAAGATGCTAAGTATGTTCCTGCCAAGTCACTGAGAATAACAAATAATTTTTTTCTGGTTTTAGGTGTACTTATACAGAAACACTGAAGAGGCATTTAGCTACACCTGGCTTCCTGGATTTATGACTATCTTACCTGATTACCACAACAACTATAGAAGCTAAGTAAATCTTCAATCACTCTTATTTAAAAGCTGAAGAAAGTAAGCTTTAGATGGTCAAAATAAGTTTCATGAGATTATGTAGCTAAGTCTCAAAGGAAGGGCTTCACTAACTCGAACTATGTTTTTTTCCAAAATGCTCTTTTTATATTGAGAAAATAAGTTTTAAACAAAATTGACAAACAATTTCAGCATTACACAAATATTCACACACACACATACATCTCAAGTAAAGGACAGAAGAGGCATTTGGGAATTTGAAATTATCTGAGTAAGAAATGATGAATCTGTATAAAGTTAGAATTGTTTCTCTTTTTATTTGAAGCTAAATGAATCTTGGAAATATTATTTTTTTGAATAACAAAGCATTGTTATTATTAAGTGTTTGAAAGGTAGTATATGTGTTTAAAGCATATGGTTTCATCCAAAGATAACTCATACCAATGTAAAGATGGAGACAAATAAAAGGGCATTTTTTTAGTTTTAATATATTTTTTAATGTACGGAGCGATGAATTTATTTTGATATAATCAGTGGTGAAAGTAATGCCGTCAAGCATTAGCATCCTTTAACCAGAATCATGTGCTATCTAAAGCTGTTGGACAGAGTTTAAAGGATCAAAATGTTGGAAGAATATTTTTAAAAATGGCAAATGCCCAGTTGCTTTTGTAAGGGATTTTAAATTAAAGCAGCAAACCCTTTAAAGCAGCATACAATGGGAAGAATGAACTCAAAGCTAATTAACTTGAATTATTTTTTGGTTGTACAGCTTTGCAGTAATCCTCCATGAAGTTCATGACCAGAGGATTACTAGACCTTGAGAAGTATTTTGAGAAAGAGTTGTGGTGGAAGCCAAAGCAATCATCTGAAACAACTGGCCTGCCTGGGCATGCCTGAACCAAATGTCCACTTCTGGACCAGAGACAGAATTAGGTATAAAATCAGGTGCTGTGTAACACATGTCTGTGTTAACAAGATGTGTATATGTATATGTGCATATAGGTGTGTTTTTGAATGAAATAAAATGTGTTAATCATAATAAAGGATAATTGGACCATATACTTCCTAAGTGTAAAAATAGTCACAACATTTAACATAGTTTTTCCATTCCCAAATTATGTTAAAGACATTCGGACTAGACAGTAGCTTAGTGGTACTGTGTTTATGTGCGAGGCTCTGAGTTGGCTCCCCAGAACTGTCAAAAGAAAAAGACAACATTGGAGGCAAATGTATATATTTATTAATATGTTTTTTATTTTCACATTGTTTATATTAGAAAAATATAGTGATCTTATTTTCAGTCATGGATAAATGCTGAAAAATTGTACAATATTCATAAAATAGTACTTGTTAAAGTCATGCGTTCAAACATTCAATAACAAGAGCATGTTGCAAGGATAAATTGATTACAAAAATGATATTAAGTTCAAATTTATGACATGTGAGTGTAAATAATAAATGCAGAATATGCATGCATTAATAGATGCCAGTGAAAAATGCACACAAACATTTAGATCATATTGTCTTAATAGGGGGGTTATATTATACATTTTTACTTTCTTTCATTAGAAATGTATGCATCTCTTATAAAATATCATCATATTTCTACTTTATTAAAATATTTTTTGAAATAAAACCACAAAAGTAATATGGTCATATTGGAAACAAATTCAAAAAAGTTATAAACAGAAAATACATTTTTAATGCAGCCTTAAAACTAAACCCTTGACATTTACCAACTGAAGACTATCAGCTCAGTACATTTCTTTAGATTGCAAATCATATAAGGCTCTTTTCCTACTGTGCTTTCATTTAAATAATTCTGTTTGATGTACTTTTCAATATATCAATTTCCTTTAATAAAGCTAGCTGTGTATCTACCAACAAATTTTTATATATTGCCACATGACATTTCTCCTTTAAATTCAAAGTAGACAGAGCCCAGAAACTAAGTAGATAATTGATTCTTTCATAGTGGCTGAGACCTCTCATCCTACCTAAGGATTTTTTAAATGATTCCCACCAGCAGTGTATGACAGGGCATATTTTCTTTTGTCCTTACAACACTGGAAATTATCTTTGATAACAATTTCAGAGTTTATATTATAGATATTTATTAAAGTAATTTTAGAAAATACGAAGTCTTTTAAAAATGATAAAAATGTAACCATTGAGAGGTAATCCTGCCATTCTTTTACAGAAGAAAAGTGCAACAGGGAGAGAAATTCAAAATAGTGACAACTTTTACTTCAATGATGAGTGAGTGCATGTGTGGAGGACAAAAGGAAAAGACAGAGAAGGAAGAGAGGGGAGAAGGAGGAGGGAAAGGAGAAGAAAGAGAAAAAGGAGAGGGAGAGGAGAAGGAGAAGGGGGAGAAAGAGAAGGAATGGAGGCATTACATGTTCAATTAATATAGTGATAGACAGTAAAAACAAAAATCCAGTGCAGCATATTAGCCAAAGCACTATGAACACACTTCTTGGTCTGATGAACACTTGGTCCTATGTTCCCTTGGAGAAAGAAAACCAAGGGAAAGGGAAATCTCTTCTTTTGAATCTTTTCCAGTGATTTATGAGTGACAATGGCAGTGAGTGCCAAAGTCCAATCCTGTCTTTGTTTTACATGCACCACAAGTTAAGGCGCCTTTGGGAAGAGCCACATACATTTTAAGAGAACAGGGGCTTCTTTTAAAAGTGGTTACTCTACCGCCTTTAAAAATTTTGACTCTAACAAATGCCTTCATTCAACATCAGATATATTAAAAATATACAAAGTATTGATTTTAAATTGACAATGCAAATACATATCAAAATATATATATGTTACACATGTGTTTATGAGATGGTAATGCAAAAATGACAATTTGTATTTATTTTATTTTACTGATTCAAGTTTTAGTCAGGATTGAAAATTCAATGGGGCAATAAAATTTCATACAAATTAATGAAAATATTATCTATAGTATTTATAAAAAAGATGTTTATTGATTAAATTAATTTTGATAACTTGGTTTTACTAGCAATGTTATTTCTTTGTGACTTACAGACACACATATACATGAATAAATAACCTATCAATCATACTTACATTATGACAGTGCATACCAAATTAAACTATATCTGCTATTTAAATGTGAATAGATGAAATGAAAATTTGAGTAGATATGAATCAACTGTGAAATCTGAATCTATTTAAACTTCAGCTTCACAAAGGCATGATCTACGATCATGCACTGGTAAAGAAAATGAAACTTCCATTTCAACATAATATCATGATCATTTGAACTTGAATTTTAAAAGTAGTGTTTTAAGAGATTAACACCCATAACACAAATAAACAAAAGCTGAAGCTTAATGGACATTATAATTTAAATGGAAAATATCAAATGAATATGCCAAACTTCTATTTCCATTTTTCTTTTTTCCTCATTATATAGTGCCTATTAATTTCACAAAATATTGTGTTTCAATATTTATAATATATTTTGATCATATTTACCCCCTTTTCTGTCTTTAACCACTCTCAGAACCCCTTCTCTCTCCCCCTTATTTCCTCCCTCTTATTTAATTACAGTCTTTCTTCTACTTTCATGTCATCTTCTTTCAGATTCCACTCTTTAAGGAAAACTTGAGATATTTCTCTTTCTGAGTCTGATTTACTTCACTCAACATGATGATATCCAGATCCATCCATTTTCCTACAAAGAAAAAGTATTCTTTATGACTGAATAATATTCCATTGTCCATATATACTAAACTTTCTTTGTCCACTCACCTGTTAATGGGCATCTAGATTGGTTCCATGTGATGGCTATTGAGAATTATGCCACAATTAACTTGAGCATGTGGGTGTCCTTACAGTGACCTGACTTTTGTTGCTTTAAGATTATACCAAGCTGCGCTATATCTGGATCAAATTCTAGCTCTGTGTTTAGTTTTTTTTGAAAAACCTCTGTAATGACTTCCATAGTAGCTGTACGAAGTTACATTTCACTTGCAGTGTAGAAGGGTTCCTTTTTCTCCGTGTTCTTACTAGCATTGACTGTTTTGTTTTGATTTGATTTGGTTTGGTTGATTTTTGTATTCTAGACGATAGCCATTCTGACTGGGGTGAGGTGAACTTGCAATGTAGTTCAATTTGCATTTCTTCTCTACTGCCTAAGAATGTCGAACATTTTTCCATATGCTTAGCAGCCAGATATATTTACCTCTTTGAGAAGTGTATGTTCAATTCTTTTTCTCATTTATTGATTGGACTATGTGATATTTTGGTTTTTAGTTTTGGAGTTCTTTATAGAGTCTAGATATTAATACTCTGTCAGAAGACGACTTGGCAAAATTTTTCCCACTTTGTAGGCTGCTCTACACTCTGTTAATTATTTCCCTTGCTCTGCAAAACCTTTTTAATTTAATGTAGTCTTATTTGTTGATTCTTGCTATTATTTTCAGTGCTATTGGAGTCCCACTATGTCTTTGCTTCTGTCTATGACTTCAAGTGTTCTTGCTATGTTTTCTTTTAGCAGTTTTAAAGTTTCAGATCTTATACCTAGGTCTATGATCTATTTTGAATTGATTTTTTTTTTGTACAGGGTGGAAGATAAGCATTTGGTTGCAATCTCCTACAAGTGACTATCTACCCAGTTTTCACAGCAACATTTATACAAGAGGCTGACTCTTCTCCCACAGCCCCCTTTGCAGAGTGCAGTGGTTGTAGTTCTGTGGGTTTCTTTCTGTGTTCTCTGTTCTCTGCTCTATTGTCTATATTTGTGCAAGTATCATGGTGTGTTTCTAATGCTGGCTTTGTAGTACAGTTTTATATCTGATATTGTGGTGTTTCCAGCCATTCTTTTTTTAGATTAGCATTCCTTTTGCTATTCTGGGTCTTTATGTGTTTCCATATAAATTTTAGAATTAACTTTTCTGGTTCTGTGAAGAGTATTCTTGGTGCTTTAATGAGGATTTTATTGAATCTATAGATTGCTGTTGGTAATATGGCCATTTAAACAACATTAATTTGGCCAAACTATGAACATCCAAGAGAGGTCTTTCCAGCTTCTAGTGTCTTCTTCAGTTTCTTCCCCCCAGTGTTTTAAAATTTTCTTTGCAGATGTCTTTCATCTCCTTGGTTACATTGATCTCTAAGTGTATTTTGTTGTTATTTTT